CCTCCCCCGAAGTTAGAACAATCAAAAATACCTCTAGATGTTGTCAGATACCATGGGAGGGGGCTAAAATTGCCCCCAGTTGAGAACCTCTAGTTCAGGCAACAAGTATTTTTGGAAGGAGGGTCCCTCTTGGGCTACACTGGGGTTTTTATGGTGTTTGTTTGTTTGTTTGTTTTAACTGTATGTTGGTCTCAGGGTTACAAAGGGCATTTACACTTTAGTTTACAGTTTAGTGGGGAGACCAGACCAGCCAATGCATGGGACAGATAAATTGCCATCTTAATGGTCCTTCCAGGATGCAGAGCTGCAGGCTGGACTCTAAAGAATGTGGTGCCAGCCCAGGGTACTTAATGAGGAGATTTTGCTGCCCTGGGCTGGATTGCATAGCTTAAGAATTGAGTAACTCTCATTCATATCTTTATTCTTACCTACTTCTGCTCAAGCAGCGCTCTTCCATTCTGAAAAAACATTTCATCTGAATCTGTAGAGGCCAATCAGGCACATTAACCAGCAGATATGTATACCTGAAGGCAGGGCGCCTACTCAGGCCTGATGCTGGTAAGGCTAACTCATTCCTTAATGAGATTTACTTTTTATTTCTAAACTTGATTTTCTTTTGCTATGGGGTGAATCCTCTGATAGACCTTTCTTGTCTCTTTACCATTGTGTTAAGCAATATTGATATAAGTCTACATAAGAACTACAGACTTTAATGTTCTGAATATGTAGGTATAAAACATGGTTAAGTGCCCCTCTGTGTGAACCTAAGAAAGGGTCTTTACCTCTTTTCATTCTTCATAGGATACTGTACTTAGAAATGTTTTTAAGGCCACTGAGCACTTCCTCCCTCCATCTTATGCTCAACACAGGCCTCCATGAAAAATGTTACTTCAGAGCACAAAAAGCATTAGTGATGGGAACTTCATAGTTCTTGTCAATTTTTCCTTAACCAGTGCCAGACTGTTGTTTTTCCCATTACTTTCAACATGATGCTCCATTGCCTCCTGGGTTGCATTGTTTCTAATAATAAACCTGCTATAATCCTTTGCTCTTTTGAAGGTAGTATGTCTCTCCTTACCCCTACCTGTTGCGGCTGCTTTTAACATTTTCTCTATCACTCGTTTTCAGCATTTTGACTATGGTGTGTCTTGTGTTTTCTTTTTGTCCTTCTTGGGGTTTGATGAGCTCTTGAATCTGTGGGTTTATAGTTTTCATCAAATTTGGAAGATTTTCTGCCATTATTTCTTGAAAAATGTTTTTGTGTCTACCTACCCCACCCCAACACACACATACACGTTATGTGTATATGTTATATATATATATGTATGTATGTTAGGCTGCCTGATAGTGTCCCACTGTTGACTGATGTTCTGTGTATATCATTTTGGATAGTTTTTGCTCTGTTTTCGAGTTCATGATTTTCTTCTTCTACAGTGTCTAATCTGTTAAGGCTATTCTATATATTTTTCCTTAAGATATTTGTATTTTTCCTTCTAGAAGTTCAATTTGGGTCTTTATTATCTCTTCCATTTCTTTTGTCATCATGTTCATGCCTTCCTCTCTCTCTTGAACACATGGAGTATATTTATAATAGAGATTTTAACATCCTTGTCCACTAATTCTATCATTGGGTCAATTTTATGCCTATTTCTATTGTTTCATTATTCTAGTTATGGTCATAGTTTTCTGCCTCTTTGCATTCCTCTTAATTTTTTTTTTTATTTGAACCTAAATATAGTGAGTTTTGTTTTTCTGGGTGCTGGAACTTTTTGTATTCCTTTCAATACTTTTGGGCTTTGTTCTCAGAAGCAATTCAGTTACTTGGAATTTGTTCGATCCTTTCATTTCAAGGCTTGTTTTCTCGCTTTGTTAGGGTGGGTCCAGAACAGCCTTTAGTCTAGGGTTGGGATGGTCCCACTATTAAGGCCAAATCCTTCTGAAGATTGCATCTGATGCCCTGTGTATTAGGAGATTTTTCCACTTTGGCCAATGGAACATGAATATTTCTGGCTCTGTGTGAAATCTGGGGGTTTGCCACCTACTTCTTTCCGTTCATTCTTTCCCTAGCATTGCTAATTTCCTCACACATATGCACAGATGAGTACTCAGCCAAAGGCTCAAGGGGATCTCTCTACAGATCTCTGGGGCTTTTTCTCTTTGTGGCTTCTTTTCAGTTATTTTGCCCTGTAAATTCTAGCTATGTTCGTCTCCCCAAATTCCCAACTCTGTCTCTGACTCAGTGAGATTGTTGAATTCTTTCAGATTTCTCCTCTCTACTCTGAGTCCTGGAGGTAGGGCACTAGTAGGGTTCACTGCATTGCCTTCCCTTTACTCAAGGATCACTGCCATGTGCTGCCTATCGTTGAATGTCTGAAAACTATTATTTCATATGTTATATCTGGCTTTCTAGTTGTTTAAGGAGAGAGAATAAATCTAGTCCCTGTTATTCCATCATGACTGGAGGTAGAAGTCCCTCAGATTGTCACCTCAGACCAATTTTTAACCTTGGATGTCTTTTTCCTCCTGTGTTCACTTGTTGAAAAATGGATCCATTGAGACAGATTTTGAGAATTCAACCAGATTCGGGTCATGTCAATTTGCCACACATTTATTGGACACCTGTGTCCGAAAAAATAGCATGGTTCAGTACCATGCTATACATGGTACAATCTGTAATTTTACCTGTATTTTAATGCTGCACTTTCTTACCAGAAGGCTGGGTGTGTGCTTCCAGGTGTTATCCTGACATGAACATGCACATATACACACACTTTGAGTCTCCTCCTTGTACCTCCTGACCACGTTCCCATTTAACCTGGGCAGCTAACTGAACTAATAGGCACAGTGGATGAACAAAGAGCAGGGGCCCAGCTGCCTGTGCATGAGTTAGGTCCAGATAGCCTTATGTGGGGAGGGGAGGAGCGTTAACTCACTTTGTGCAGTGGCCCTTCCACCTTACCTAGTCTGACTCTGTGCTGGATACTATAATAAACTCTTCAAAAATGTGTAAATCATGGATTCTGAAATTCTGCGAAACAGGTTATTGTTACCCCCATGGTATGTGTGACAAAACAGAGGCTCACAGCAGTTAAAACAGTACACCTGGGACCTGTAAGAAGTGAGAGGCAGAATCAGGATTTGAGGTTCCTTTTGTGTAACTTTAAAACCCACATTGAATGATCCTGTAAGTAACAGTTTCATTTCTCTCTTCTGGGATCCAGCTTACTTCCATGTTTTGTCTTCAGCATTTTGGCTATATATCAGCCATGTGTTTTCATTTTCTACCTCATATTGTAGTTATTTGTATATGTGTCTTATCTCCCCCAGTAGACTGTAATCTCTTGTAGGGTATATGCTTTTCTCCATCCTTGTACCTTTCATAGAATCTAGAATATGTAGGTGCCCGATGTAGGTGTTGAATGAAGTCAGTAAGTTCCTTAACAAAGATATTTGTGAGGAATGGGTCCAGATGCCTTGTCTGGAGGGAAATACCAGATTCCCTCATTAATTTATGATGTTTCTTTCTCATCTGCTGTGTTTATCATAATCCCTCTTACCATCTTCCAGGGTGTAACCTGGACTTTATGAAGTTCTTTGTTTGGTACCTCTGCCTGAACTTTAACTAACTTCTAATAATGTCCATGGCACATCATGGACATCAAATGACTAATTTGAGGTAACTTTTAGAGTGTGTGTTTGGAGATTTAAGGGAGTATCTGTTGAGAATTAGATTCCTTTCTTCTCAGGTCCTGATTTAGAGCCCCACATCTGGAGAACCAAGTATGATGGAGCTAGAACTGGAGCTTGTAGGCCTTGGTGGAGGGTATAAGTGGAGGCAGAGGCGTGGGACTAATCAAAGGGGAAGGAACAATAGGCAAGTTCCTGTTTCTTGTTTTTGCTTGGGGCCTCATAGTCCAATCTTGACAGCTTACAGGAAGTTTGGGTAATTTGCGAGGGAGAGGACAGGAAGAGTCATGGTTTGGTTATAGATTCAGAGGCTTCTTGGAATTTACGCAAGATGGAGGAGAACACTTGGAACCAGAAGACAGTGTCTTGTTTGGCTTAAGTGCATACCTGATTGGGGCTGCTGCTATTAAGCTTCAGGAGATGGAGGTAAAGAACATGCTCCTAGAATCCTGAGCCTGAACCAGAACCTCAGAGGAAAATAGGTAGACATTTGAGTAGAAAGGAGGAAAATGGCAGGAAGTGGGACCATATTCATGGAGAATCTTAAGGCCTGAGAGACACGAGGAAAGGTCACTTCTGGCCCTGCTGCTAGGTTGACTGTTTCCACTCATGAATCTTACAGATGTAGCAATTTTGGGGTAGGGGTGATGGGATGGAGAGGCTTTTTTGTTGCTGTTGAACAGGAAGGAAGCAGGTAGCTCTTTTGATACTCCTCCCCAGCTTCTCCCTAGTTTGGCCAACCACAGCATGTGTGGGAGTGTCAGTTCAGAGCGACTCTCCAAGCTATCTGGGTAGTTCAGGAATCTTAACTAAAATCCTTGGGTTAACTGAGTAGGCACAGCTTGTAAGATACGATTTCCTTCTAGCCACCCTCCAGTCTTTCTTCTCCCTTCTTTTCCAACCCCCTGCCCCCAATAGTTTTGCCTTTATTGTGTCTACTTTCTCACTTTGAGTTCATGTTAAGATCAATATGATCTACCCTCACCACTCAAATGAAACTGCTCTTGATGATGTCATTAATGGTCTCGTGACCAGAGCAGTCTTCATCTTACTGGACCTTCACTCCCAACTCCCCCTACATCCTCCTTCACTGTCTCTGTCCCTCCCTTAACATTTATAATGCACAGGGCCTGGTTTCCTTGTACTTTTTGGAGTGTCTTTCATGGGCTCTCCTTCCTGGACATGCTCCTTTAAAAAGTTATTGCTCTTCCCAGGATTCTGTCCGTGACTTTCTTCTCTTCTCACTCTAACTCTCTTAGGTGAGTCCATCTGTTCTGCATGATTTCAGCCATTACTTATAGGCTGCTAACTCCAAGCTCAAAGTGCTCTGCAGAATTTCATACTCATTTCTTATGCAGGGGCCATGCTAATCTTCTCTGGATTGTTCCAGTTTTAATATATGTGCTGCCAAAGCGAGCACCGTACTCATTTCTAATTTGCCTGCTAGACCTTTCTACCTGAATATCCTTGAAGTAACTACAATTCAACATGTCCAAGAATAACCTGAACTCAGTTTATTACATTCTTCACTAAAATCTGCTTGTCCACCTGTGTTCTTTCTCTCCTTTGGTAGCTTTCACCATTTACCCTGTCACTTAGGCCAGAAACCTCGGCGCCACCCTCTATTGTTTTCACTCATCCCATCCTATTAGTTTTTGGCATCTTCTACAGCATTTGGCACATCATGGACATCAAATGAATAAATAAGAGGAAAAGTTTATTAATTTCATCTGAATTTAATTATGGTTTAGCTAGCACTTTGGTTTTGATAAAGTTGAATACTTAGGGTTTCACTGTGACTTTTGGGAAGGGCATTTGCTTTTGGCCACATTCATACTATATTAAAGGGGGGCCAGTTTTTTATTTAAAACAGGAACACTTGGTAGAGGGATTAGTCATTATTAGAAATGAATGGATTAGGGGCACCTGGGTGGCTCAGTTGGTTGGGCATCTGCCTTTGGCACAGGTCATGATCCCAGGGTCCTGGGATCGAGTCCTGCGTAGGGCTCCTTGCTCAGAGGGGAGCCTGCTTTTCCCTCTGCGTGCTGTTCCCCCTGCTTGTGCTCGCACTCTGTCAAATAAATAAATAAAATCTTAAAAAAAAAAAGGAAATGAATGGATTGGATTGGCCACTGTGCTATCTTTTAGGGCTGCTCTAAGGAGCTGCTGACAGTTAAAAAAGAGGTGGGTGAAGTCAGAATGTTCTGGCCCAGAGGGCCTTGTCCTTGGTGTTCATGGGAGTAGAAGCAGTGTGTCATGGGTGAACTTGCCACATGCTGTGGGTTTAATGCAGGAATAGGGAAGACATTTCCATTGGGGAGGGTAATATGCCCCTTTTTATTCACTGATGGATTTCCTAATCGTATCCTAGTGTTTGTGACATAAATGCTGAGGAGGTGTTTGTAACTGTCATGTTTTGCCAAGTTTATTTTCCTTCCTTTCTGTCTAGCCCCTTAAAAAAAAAAGGAGATGGTGACTTAAAATCATAGGATTTTGGAGCCAGAGAAGCTCTAAAGGGAGTGGTCATCTAGCTCAACCCTTACATATTCAGAAAATAATGATAATAATAATGATAGGTGGTAGTAATTCGAATACCTACCATGTTCGATGACTCATTAAATGCCAGGTGTTATGTTAAGTGCTTTGTATGTATTTCCCAGTATAATACTTACCCATGAGATAGCTATTATTAGTGCTATTTTATAGATAAGGAAACTGAGGTCCAGAACGATTGGATAACTGCATTGGAGTTAGGTATGCTGAAGCAGCTATTGTGCAGAAAGATGAATTATCTTGCTTGCTCAAGGTCAGGTTTTCCAGATAGAGGCAGAACATGAGTAGAATCCAGATCTCTTGACCCCAAACTCAGCATATGTTTTTATTTTGAGCTGAGAATTCATTTTTTGTGGTCATTTGTGTCTCATTTCTTGCTCAATCCCTTTTAATTTTAGTGAAATTGAATGAAGTAGAGGAAAGGGTGGTTTAGAGTTGGGGTTTGGGTGAGTTTTTTAAAGTTTATTTTTAAATAGGCAGCCTTCCCAGACTGACTGGGAATGTAGCAGAAGGCCTGAGAACCAGGAAGTGACACAGACCTGTTTATACCATGCCATTTGGGGGCCTTTGGGAAGCCTTCACAGAGATGGTAAAAAGTAAACGTAAGTGCATTAGCCAGTTCTCTTGGGTTTGCTATTTTTGACCTGGAGGAGGTGTTTCCTGCACAGCTATGAGTATTTTGGAAACCAAAACCTAGCACCTAAACATCTTGATTGAAGGTATATAGATAGATATTTATTTCTTGTTACCAGACACAGCATTCAGCGGGGTCTGGCAGACAAAATTACCACCTTTTTTTTTGGTCTCTTTCTCTCTGCCATCCTTTTGGTGAATTGCTTTTCTACATTTCTTTTTCTTTCTTTGTAATTAGCACTATACATGCAAATCTGTCCTGAGAGCTCACTAGGTATGTGCATGATTTTCAAGGTCCAGTTCAACCTTTCTCTTTCACCTCTCCCTAGTCCCACTCAGCAGTCTTTGTTCCTATCTCCTCTGCATTCTCATAGCACTTCAAACAAACAAACAAACAACCCTTTTATTGGACCCTCCTAACACGTTCATGGTGTTATATAAACATAGAATTCCTTGCACGTAGACTGTGAATTCCTTGAGAGTGAGGAATTCATGTGTGCGCCACACTTCATCTCTGTGATCACCCAAGCCTTGCACTGAAGACAGCCAGTAAATATTTGCTGAATTGCAGTATAGTCACAGCAAACACAGAGCCCTAAGAAGTCAGATTTAGCAAATCAGCTTCCCAGACTTTATTTGCCCAGTGGGTATTGAAGCCTGCTCCACTCAGCTCTGATGGGAACCCAGCAGAGGGGTGTGATGACACATAGATACATCTCTGGGGTCTAGGAGCCAATTATAGCCCCTTCTGCCAGGCACGAGTTTTGCTACCTGGCCCAAACTTCAGGATTTATGCCCCTTTCCTCTCCTGTTTTATGTCTGCTATGACTTTGCTTTCTTGTATTTCCTACACAAATTATGTCTTTTGGGTTTATCTCTTTTCCCCCTTCAGTGAACAAGTAAATGTCGAGCACTTTGGGGCGTAGAACGAGGCAGAGTTGGTGGTCTCTGCAGGAATTTACTACATGCAGTAAATGCAGCATACAACAGTTAAGTAACTATGAGCAGGCCCTAGGGAGGGATATGATTGTTGTCCCATTCATGGTCCAGGCAGTAATGCTTTGGGTTCAGAAGGGCCTTCCATGCTTGTGGGCTGAATTGATGAGTTTTCTCAGAAAAGATGCAACTAAACTTGACCTCGTATTTGGAAAACAGAAGATCAGGAAGCCCTTTGCAGTAGGAAAACAGGAGGAGAATAGATTTCGGCCCCTTGGATTTGATTTATCTGTGAAATGGGGGTAATGGCACCTATTTAATGAGGTAATGAGTGTGTGTGTGTGTGTATACACATATATGTAACAAACATGTAAGCTCTGTGCCTCATCCTTCCCTACAACATGTTCAGACTGGAAAACCTCCTAGGTCCCCCTGGACACAAGTATTGCCTTAGTATAGTCACATACATAATTATTTAATTTGGGGGGAGGGAATGCTAAGTTCCTTTAAAAATATATTTTTAGAACGTCATGGGGGAGAACCTTGGAGGTTCACTGACTGTGTTTTGAGCCTAGTTTCAGGGCATATGTTTCTAGCCCAGCTGAAACAGTGCCCTTCGGGAATCCGGTGGGTGCTCAATTATAGCCTTTTAGAGCAGGAAGGGGCCTTAGCCAACATTAATTTGAGTGCCCACTGTCCCATATGCCATCTTGCATCCTTCACGTTTATCTCATTTCCGCCTCACAACAACCTAATGAAGTGTGGGTATCCAGTTTATAGATGGGAACTGAAAATAATTTGCTCTGGACTACCTAACTAATACTGTCCAAGGAGAGCAGAGATTTTGGCCCAGTCTGCTAGAATCTTTCCACGATCCCAGCCTCCCTGAGAAGCCTTAGTTGAACTGTTTTCATTTTACTGATGAGGAAACAGAGGCATAGGGAGGTGGTGTGATTTGTCCTAGTTCAGCCCATCAGTCATTGGAGAAGCTGGGACTAGAGAAGAAGTGGTTTCCTGCCTTCAGCGTTGGAAATTTACAGCCTGAGCCAAGTTCCTGCTCACAGCCACTCTGCCTTCATTCTCCTTTTTTTCTGTCCTGTCTTGAGTCTGTGTTGTTTTGTTCTTCTGTCCTCTCTTGAGTCTTTTCTTTCTGGGCCCCTACAGCTCTGCAGTGATCTGTGTGCATGCGTGCGCGTGTGTGCGCACACACGGACAGAGGCTGGGGTTTTTTTGTTAGAAGTTTGTTATTTTTGGAAAGCACTTTAGGAACACTGTGTATGGATGGCCTATACAAATGTGCTGATGGATTGATTAAGCTCTAAATGGGAAAGTGGAGTTTCCTGAGTTTGCTGCAATGCAGAGGGAGATGGATGCTGAGATGAGTCTTGGGAGATGAAGGGGGAGAGGACTGCTCATGCAGAACAAAGAGGATGGATTTAACATTTCTTCCTTCCAGTTAGAACTTTTGTTGACTTATGTTTTCAGAAGAAATATTTCTGGGCCCCTCCTATTCCCTAGAAGACATTCCAGATTCTTTAGAACTGAAAGGGCATTTGGGGATCATCCAGGCCTACCCCCTGAGGACCAGGAAGAATAATTTACTTGCCTGAGGTCAGTCCACTGTTGGTTGGTGGAGCAGGGACTTAGAGCTGTCCTGTGCATTTAGGTCCATGCTGCAGTCATCCTGCTGTTAGGTTTTAGAAGAGATGTTGGAGACTGTTAAAGAGAGGCTTAGGGTTGGGGCTGGGGTAGTGTGTCTGCTGATCTGCTATCTGAAGCTGGAGGAGTATGGTAGGGGTAAAGTGTGACAACAGGAGGATGTGGGGAGCAATTCTGGGGAAACCAGACAAAGATACAAAGACTGTCAAAGCAATTTAAAAAAAACAACCTCTAACCCCTACCCTACTCTGGCTTAGGTGGCTTATGAGGAAAGCTGAGGGTTATTTTGGGATTTCTAGGAGGTGAATTTTAACAAGAGTTTGACTTTGTGTCTTTTGGGCTTTGGAGCTGGAGATAAAAAGGAAATGGATGAGGTAACATTCTGGCTGTTACCAGGGATCTCCAAGTCCAGTAGAAGACTTTTGTGCCTGTTGAAGCCCTCACATGCTGGTGGCACAAAAGAAAGGGGAAGATATAAAGGTTAACAAGATTGGAAGGAGTCACGGGGGAGAACAAAGGAAACTGAAGACCTCTAGAAGTAACTTCATTTTTTCATTTTGGAGGGAAGAGTGGGAGGTATTAAGATCTCATTGCCGTTTAGATAGCTTTTGCTGCTGTGGCCCAGCTGTTTCCGGGTGA